CCCCTATCCCGTGCTGCGCCGCGCCGCCCAAGGTCAGCCACGGACGCCGTGGGGCCATGGGCTGGGTCTGGGACTGCGCGAACACCAAAGAGAAGAAGACAGTTGCTCTCACATATAAACTCAGCATGGATGTAGGAGGTGGAGGTTGGAGCAAAAGAGGAGGAGGAATAGAGGATAAGAGCAGCAAGGAGGGAGGAAGGCAGAAAGGAGGGGGAGAGACAAAAATATTTTGACGAGAGGAGCAGCGGGTCGCGGTGCCGGGTGGTGCCCAGCCGGCCCACGCCACGGGGCCATGAGCCATGAGCCGAGCCGAGCTATGAGCGCGTCCAGCCGGCCGGCGACTGCTCCCCCACCCCACTCCACCCCGCACCCGCGCGCCAGAGTCGCCAGCCGTGCCTGCCCCTTCTGCAGAGCCCCACACCACCGGCACCGGGGGCACCGGCTTGTGCAGCGCAGTGTGTTGTGAGTGTTGTGTGGGTTCGGTCGTGGTGCTGTTCTCAAGCCTCTGCCGCTGCTCTAGGGCTAGGAGCAACGCCTATCGGAAACGTGACCTTCGTGACCGCAGTAAGTAGTTAGCATACATCAAGTGAGAGCATTGGAGTACTCCAGGTAGCAAAATGGAGCAAACTACGCCGAAAATGCGCTTTTTAGTCAGGCCCTAAAATGCAGTGTTAATGCAGTTCTGCTACTTGGGGTCGGTGGTATTCGCTCCTTAACGCTTGAAGTAATGGGGAAGATAATTTGAAGGTTAAAATCTTTTTATGCAATGCACGGTATTTTGTGAACTATAGAAAAAGGCACCACACCACTTAGCGGAAGTCTCGGTTAGTGTTCCAGGGTTTTGAAGAATCGACGAAATGGAAATGTTCTCGTGTTTGTTTGTGTGTGTGTGTGGGGGGGGGGGCTGTTTCCAGTGATCGCGACTCTTCGCGACTGTACAGCACCGCTCGCTTCAGAAACAATGTGGGAGGGAGAGGTGGCGAGGTATTCGGTATTCCCCTCCCCGTTCCGATCAAAGCCGATTCGTCTCTTTTATGAAACTCTTTGCGTCTCGTTCCGTCGCGAAGCATGGCCTTGCGGCGGACAAGACCTTTCAGGAACAAACGCTTGACTTTGATCAAAATTCGAAATTCTGCCCGCGCATCGATCACCCTCGCAAAAATTGCTTATTGTGATCACAGCAAAGAGGTGGTCGTTTGAAAGAATTTACCTTCAGACTTGTCTTTGGCTAAGACGCAAACAACACGCCGAAAGTCAAACACGCTCTTTCTACCTACTCCGCCGTGCCATGTAGTGTAATTTCAGCTAACGGAGGAAGAAGAATAGCGGATAAAACATAGGGAAAGGTTCCTGATTGGCTGGGGAGCTCTCGACCAATCGGTAACATTTTTTCTACCTGCTATTCTTCCTCCGCTAGGCGAAATACACTATACGACTATACGGCACTCCCCATACAGTCGTATTTTGTTAGGCGGGGGTTGAGGGTTCGGCTGACAGGGGGTGAAGTGTTGTGGATTGCCTAAATACAGGGGTTTTGTGCCGCGAATTGCCTACCTCTCAGGTGAAAAGGGTCTGTGGGGAAACAGGTCGTACGTGCAAACCTATATGGTCCACGCCGATGCATTTAACCCAAGATGTGCTACGAGAGAACGCCAAAGGCCAAATGCGTGCTCTAGCTTGGGTAGAACATCTCTGAGGCGTCCTACCACCAAACGACAAAAGGCGCTTATAATTTTTGGGTGAAGCGACGAAGGCGGTCTCTCACAGAACACCTAGATTTTACAATGTGAGTGGGTTACCAGTCGCCATCCGCGGCCCGTGTTCCCCACCTTCGCATTTGTGCTCATACAAATCGACCAGTGTTGACGCATTCCAGAATTCGCACGCACGACCGAGAATCCGGTGACGTTTAGTCTTCAGCAGCGAGCGCTGAATGCATC